CCAGGCCACTAGATTCTTGTACTCTCTTTGCTACTTATGAGAGAATAATTAGCTTTATCTGCTTTGACCCCAGTTTCTTCCAGCAAGACTTGCAGCAAGGAATAAAACAACTAACCAACAAAAATGCAAGGTAATATATGTTCCAAAACAAAACTCAGCTGTAAAATAATTAACAAACCAAACAAAATATGAGTAATAGTTAAAACTGAAATGGCAGTACATTAAACCAAACTAAAAATGGGAGGATTTCTTAAACCAAATCATTAATTCAGCAATGATATACTTAAATAAGAGTAAATAATGTAAAGATATAAAGCAAATATATAAAAGTGGAAACTACATCTGCTATACAAGCACAGCTAATAAATAAATACTTATGTTTTAAATTTTAAGTAAACTGTGACTGTATACTGCGTAAATACATATTTGCTATGGAACAGTCTATTATTCTAAAATCTTTACTATAAGCATTTAGAGGGAAAACATCTTGCTATATGGAGATGCATAGAATAAAGAGAGAAAAATGTTGATTTACAATAAGAATCGAAAAATATAAATATATATATGAATAAATCCGTGCTTTTTAGTTTTTTTTCTTATTGTGTTTGAAATAGCATAGCACCCTCTGGTGCATCTGCTAGAGGAAATGTAAGAGATTAAGAATGGGCACCAGTCATTGTTCTCAACACTGGTGCAGAAAGTAAAAAACTAGAAAGCTCTAGTTCTCATACCCCAATTCTTTCTTTTTCCAAATGTTTTAAGTTAAAAATATTTTAACTTGTAACAGTTAATATTCAATGAAATGAAAATAATAAAGATGTCCCACAGATCAACAGACACTATAAATAAAAGATGGAAGCTTAAAATGTATTTAATGTTCCTACTTATAGTTCACTGGTATAAAAATTAAGTCATAACAAGTCAGATTTTAAAAATCCACAAGTCAGTTGTCTAGCAAAACAAGTTTTTACATCAAGCTGCAATTTGCTACTTGTCTTGCAAGCCAGCTATTAGAATTATTCCACCTACTTGTATTCAAAAGCTGCTAACTTATATTGCTCCATAATGCTTTCCTTTCCCCCCTTTAAAAGTTTGGTAAGCGGATTATCCAAAAATGTAATATATGAATGTGTTATGAGGAGCCATTTAAGACTCTGATAAAACTATACCACATATTATAATGTACCCAGTCACGGGGAAAATAATTACCTATAAAAGAGTAGATTTTGCTAATGACAAAAGCAGAAGATGCCACCTGCTTTAGACAGGACTTTGTGAGCCACTGGAAGTCCCAGCACAATGCACTAGAAATGAAAGTGACACCTGTTTAAAGCAGCCATCTGTCCCTAACAAGCTAAATTTAGTCAAATCAGTCTATCCACTTAATCTTACATTTCCAAAATGTTTGTGTACATTCAACTTGCAAGCAAAGAAAAACTACAACCACTGTTAACACCACCTTTATTAAAGACATATAAATAATGCCAAACTTACAATTGGTGGGGAAAATATGCAATTTTAAACATGCAGATTTTTAAAAGTTTATTTACTAAGAAGAGTCTGAAAAATTAATAGTTTAATTCATTATTGAAAAACACACTTCTTGGTATTCTAATTAGAGTCTATATTAATCTAACATGGAACTTGATTTAAAACTAGCTCTCTTGCTCTACAATAACTTTGAAAGTTTGCTTTTATTCTCTGTATATTTGTGTTGCATTCACAACCTGTAATCTCAATTCAAAACAAACTTTAAAAAAAAATCAGAATACATTATATATGTTGAAAAAGCCTGTTCCCTTGTTAATATTACACATGTCATCGTCTGCTGTTGGTAGGCCTCCTTTGTGGTTTGCATGAAAAAGCATCCCTCAATTTTGAATATGAAAAGGAAATAATTTAATGACAGAAGAGGTGGGAAAAAACCTGAAAATCAGTAACACTCACTAGACCACAAAGCAACCACTATGATAAAAATGTGCAACATTTTAGATTCCTTAACCATATTAAGCACACCTGGTTCTGTTCCAGGTAAGGACAAAGAAAAATATGTCATCCTTCCCTTTCAGTGTGAAGTTTATTAAGTTAAAAGAAATAGTAACATTTTTATTTCTGAGAACTGTATTGTTATAACTAACAGATTGCTATATTTAGGAAGAGAAGAAAATATACAGTAGTAACAAAACAAAGCCCAGTTACCCGCGTAGATGAAGAAAACAAGGATTTTAAACTACATAAAAATGGTAGGTCATGGACTCTTATTTTATTTCTTTTGAATACATTGCCAAAAAAATATCTGTCTACTCCAGCACAATGCAAGTTAGCTAACACACCAGGGCACAGAATTCACAAAGACTCAATGAAGCTATGTGCAAGTGCATTAAAATGCATTTTTAATCACACTTGTTCAGCTATGTACTCTAAACCACAAACACGTGAATAAAAATCACAAACCATTTTATTATCAAAAGGCTGTCTGACATCGCAAACATCTGGTATTCTGATAGCTGAAGGCACTGGGGAATCAAAATGCATAATGAAGATCCCATCTATGAAACATTAAAACGTTAAGGTGGGAACAAATTGTTAATGCTGCTTTTCTTTGTAAAAGTCTAAGATGCTAGCTGATGTGACATGGCACTATTTTCAATTACCTCATGCAACAGCTCCTTTAAAGTAAATGTAGTGAGTAATACTAAAAACTTTTTGTGATACAACACACCTTTTTTTAATATAGTCTTTAAAAAAATACAGATTTCTGCTTCCTCAGCCAACTCACTTTTCTTTGCTAATTTAGGCTTTGATCCTGAAAGCTGCTCTACCCAGGGAGATTTCTAGCCCCATCCAGAACTCCATCATCAATGGGGCTCTTTGCTGGTGTTGGGAGTCCAACCCACACAGTGCAGCTTGCAGAATTGGGACATTACCTTGCAGGCAACGTTAGACGTGTGGAATGAATTAACAAATAATGAATCACAAAGTAAACTCAGTGACAAAAACTAATAATTGTTATATTCTAGAAATTAATTCACTAAGATTTATATGTAACAACTCTACTATATAACATACTGAACACAGTGACAAACTGACTTCTTTGATGTCAGTAATTTTTAACGTATTTGGAACTCATCTGATCACAGTACCTATGCTAGGAGAAAGGAAAATAAGTCATTCCTCCTTTTCAATATAAAGTATATTAAGTTAAATGAAAGTAACATTTTTATTACTGATGATTGTTTTATTGCTCAGGATGAAAACTTTGACAAGACCACAAATGAGAATTTTGAGACCTTTGGTGGTTCATTGAAATGTATCATTTCAGTTACACGGACTGCATATGAAAACATACTTAGAAAGTAAAACTGCAAGAGACATAATAAGCCTTAGTTCAAAAAATAATACAAGTATCACTAATGCATTAATTATCTACCCTCCTCTGCACTTGACAATCCCCAGAATAATTGACACTGTCACATTCTTCAGAGGTTGCTCTGTCAAATAAATCAATATCTTTCTGTTGGCGTTGTTACGAGGAACAAGATTGTAGTCAATGCAGGGCTTAAGTGTAAAGGTGGAAAAAAGTATCTTCAAAATTAAAATCAACAAAAATATCTTGTAAAACACTACCATTTTCCTATGAATTACATTAAATACAGGAATGAGGAAATAACACTTTTTAAATCATCTGTATTTAAAAAAATTGTAAATCCTAGAGACCGTTTTATTAACTGAGAGTTGATTTGACATCACGGGGGGGAGGGGAAAGAGAGAGAATTGGATATAAAAATGTTAAAGAAATTCCCCACGATACCTCACGAAGGTATCAAAATATACACCTTATGTCCAGAAAAACAAGTGAATAAATTGATGGTATATGCTGAGAAGTCAAATCCCTAAATCTTAACAAACAATCAAAAAGAAGATGAAATATACATGGATTTCAAGTTCAGAAGATTCATACATTCTTTATGAACTTGACTTCAATTTCAGCTCTCTGCAGAAAAAGAAGACCCACCAAGAAAAATCCTTTAAAAGTTCAGTAGCTTTGACAAATAAAATTGCAAAGCAAGTTTTCTTAATGTTTTCTTCTCTCTTTCATTTATCTGATGTACACAAAGTCTCTCATTCGTAATGAAAAATAACTAAAATTCCCTTCACTGTGGGAAACTTAAGGAAACTGAAATGGATCTTCTACCCCAAACATCTCTACATAGAAGATAACACACTAGATAAACTACAAACCCAACTAACACACTTGCACTGTATCCAGATTAAATCACAAGTACAAAAACAGCATTAAAAAAAATCTTTCCCAGCAGCTGGACAGCAAAGCAAAACTGCTACTGTCTGTGGTGGTGGTTTGGGGGGGGGGGGGGAAGGGAGACTACTGGGTGAATAGAAAAACAATGTACAGTACAAAGAAAATACAGTTTTCCCAAAAATAAACAATTAAACTAATGATGATTAAAGAAGGAAATAATCTGGCCACAGAATTAGGGCTTCACAGAAGAGAGCTAGGGAATGTGTGAGTATCACCAGAAGAGATAAAAAGTTCACAAACATCTAAATCTGAACAGTCTCACAACCCCAGAACAAGGCCCCTAGGAGTGAAGAGGAGAAACATTCCCTGGTTGTTGGTGTGTTGCAGAATCCATGCCTGGGTGTTCGCTAAAGCAGGTACCATCAGACAGGGCTCGTCAACACCTCATCTCCTCTCTTCTAACAATTCCCCTCTATTGTACACGGAGACCAAGGAGATACCTGCCCACCCTCTCCACAACCGTCCCGCAGACCAGAAGCGTGACTCTCCCCCCTCCCCTTCCCAGCCCTCAGCCAACACCACATTCCCCATCCACCATCAAAGTACAACCAAGGGGGGTGGGACAACCAGCCAGCAGCGAGACACGCGTTACAGCCTCACCCTCCGGCTACATCTCAATCAATGGGGCAGCGCAGCCCGGGGACCGGGGGGCCGGAGTGCACGGAACAATCATAGTCACCTGGGCTGTGCAGGGCTGTGGTGTTGCTGTTGTTGTTGCTCTTGCTGGTGGATGTTGTTGTTGTGGGTGATGGTGAGGAAGGGGGTGAGGATGGGGGTGGTGAGGAGCAGCAGCAGGAGGAGGAGGAGGAGGAGGAGAGGAGCGGTTGTTGTTGATGGGTAACAGTCGCCAGGACTACGGTGACTATGGCGCTTGATTCACAAGGCAACGGTTGCTATAACTCACAAAAGGGAGAGAGCGAGCGAGAGAGGAGGAGGCGGCGGCCCAGCCTGAGAGGCCCGGAAGAGGCGGGGCCACCGCATGACTGACACCTCTCGTCCCGGCGCCGGTGGGAGGGGATTCGGCTCCCTCACAGGGAGGAGGGGAGCGCACCTGTCTCTCACTGAACGCGGGGTGGGCTCAGGCTGAGCGCTCCTCCCCTTGGGGCGCGCGCACAGGCGGGTGTTGGTGAGCACAATGCGGTGTCTGCGAGACGGCGGTTAGCGGGGACAGTTACTCCGCTCAACAGGCGCAACTACCGAGCGCCGCTTCCCGCTGTGCGTGACTGGGGGCGTGGTTACACCTGGCTCCCGCGTGCACGAGCAACGCGGCGGACCGGCTGTGCCGTCATTTCCGGCTGTGGGAGAGAGGAGGAGGAGGAGGAAAGTCCCGGATGTGGGCCGGCGAGAGACTCGCTCAGAGCCCCCTAACCATCCGTGTCCCGAGGAAGCACTTGTAGAGCGGGGGAAGGAGGAAGTCCCGCCTCGTGCCCGATTCCCCTAGCGCCATGAAAACGGCGGCCTGGAGGCGCCATCTTAGAGGGAGGACAGGGGACGGCAGTTTCTCCGCACTCAGCGTCTTGTAACCGCCGCCGCGCGCACAGCCTGTGACTAGCCAATCCCTGGGTGCACGGCCCTCCACTCGCCTTACCCCCGCACACACCGACCCTGCTACCTGCCGGCACCCCCGACCACACACAGCCCTTGTATCCACTGTGCAGCCCGCCTACACGCGCCTCTCACCCCCACGCGGACTCTGGAATCCACCCGTAGCCATCCCACAGCCTTCACCGCGCCCTGCAACTTGCCAGCACCCTTGTCACCCTACACTGACTCTTCAGCTCACCAACTGTGGTACCCATCCCAACTCTCTCCACGCCTATCTCTAGCAACCCACATACACCAACCTACAATCCACATATACGTTGCCAGCCCTGCCCTACAACTCACCTGCACACCCACATCCCCCACCTCTGCACCTGTCCTGCAATCAACATACACATCCCTTACCCCACTCCCACCTGCATTCCCAATGTACACATCCCTGACCCTACACCATCCTGCAACCCTGCTACTGCCCCCCCCCATGCACCTCACCCCTATACCAGCACTTTACTTTACCTACACCCCAGGCCTGCCCATCCTGCAACCCACATACCCCACCCTATCCTTGTCCTGCACTCCACCTACCCCAACACGCACATTCTGTGGCCCATCTACATCTATGCAGCCCCTATCTATACCATACCCTATAGCTATCTGTTCAACACCTATATCCTCTACCTCCCACACTCCTTGCAACTCACCTACAGCCCCTCTATACACACCCCTTGTAACTCACTGACAGCCCAAATGCATCCTGTTCACACACATACACATCCTATAACCCACCTACATCCCTTATTCTTCCTGTAATCTACCTACAACCCTATACACACAACCTCTATGTGCCCTGTAACCCAGGTACTCTCTACACACATTCCCAACCATGCACCCTGTAAGCCACCTACTGAGAACCCATGTACACTGTACCTTACCTACTGGTCCCTCTAATATTTCTGCTACATACAATCTGTAAACCAGGTACAACCTAGAAACTTCCACTAACCCCCCCCCCACACACACACACACATCCTGAATCCTTATGCATAGCCTGTAACCAGCCTATATCCTCACAAGCATTTTGTACCAATAGGCACAGTCTGTAATCCATCTACTCCCTCCCCACACACAGCCTCTATCCTTACAACATATTACACCCCTGCAGAAGACTTTTACCATCTTGCATCTCCACAAACCACATCTCCACACAAACTTTAATCCACTTTATTCAGTTTGTATTCTCTGTATCTGCTTAACTACATTGCACAAGGAACAAAATTTTTCACAGCCCTGGGCGATGTAGCTAGGTTGATCTAATTTTTAAGGTCTAAGACCTACAGTAACTGGCTGGTGGAGACTTTTTCAGTTAAGAAATAATATTTAGGAATTAGTCGTACTGTCACTGTGATCAAGTTGAAGATCTGGATTATTTGCTAAAATAGAGCCTTATCCTGAGATGCTGAGCAAACGCTGGTCCTATTGTCTTCAGGGGCTCCACAAGGGTACCGCATTCAGGTTGGCGATACAGCAAAAGCTTATCTTCAGTTCAATAAAGCTTACAGGTCAGATGGTGGCCCGCAATACAGCCTCTCTACACCACTCCAGGCTGCCAAGGATTTGTCCATCATACTGGAATCCCCAGGTCATGTAGGCCCAGCAGTGAGGTGCCCAGGGCACAGTTGCAATCCAACTATTCCTCTCTGATAGAAAGGCCCCTCGAGGCTGTTACCTGTTGGTATAATTTAGAGCCTGGGGGAGTAAAGTGACCCTCCTGACATTATGACTCTGGGGGGGAGGAGAACAGTCGCTATTCACCTGCTGTTTCCCACTGCAAGCAAATAGAGAAGGATGGGAATATCAGGAACCCTGGTTCTGCCCCCTACTAGTTGGCTGAGTAGCACGGGGGAGAGTAAGCGAAGGTCTGCACTGTAGCTGGAGTATAGTTTCCAGTTTGGGTAGATGTACACACACTAGCTTTGATCAAGCTAGCACACAAAAAATAGCAGTGTAGCTGTGATGGTGCAGGAGTTTGGCTCAGGCTAACCACCTGAATACAATCCCATCCAAGATTCTAGGTACATATTTGGGCAGCTGGCCTGAGTTGCTACCAGTGCTGCTGTGGCTATGCTGCTATATTAAGCACACTAGTTCAATCAAAGCTAGCATGTGTACATCTACCCAAGATGGAAATTACACCTCTATGTTCAGCATAGCCATACCTGGAGCTTAAATAGAAGGAATAGAATAATTTACTCCTTCCCCAGAGTAATGTGGGAGCAGGGGAGAAATTTGTTCTCTTGTCAGCTGCTGAGGTGTTGCAGTTATGTGCCTCCCGTTACCCAGATTAGATTATATAAATACAAGCTGAATGTGAGGAATCACCATGCTACCAGAAAACCAGGAAACTTTTTGGTAAATGTCATTTGTGGATGTTCCCCCGCAGTGATCTGTCTGGAAAGTATCACAGCTTCTCTTTGGATAAAGTTTTTATAGTCAAAGAAAACAAACTTCTAATAGAAATAAGGTTTTTTAAATACAATAATCTATCCACCCTGAACAATAGACGTAGCTGTTCTTAATTTAAACTCAACATGTAAACATATACATTTTTTAGCCAAATTACGCCCTTAATTACACACATACAACTCTCCATTGAAATCAAATGGGCATAATTTATCCCTACCCTACGGTCTTTTGGCAGGCTCTGCATTTGCAACCAAAATCTATGTTTGTGGCTTGCATTTTATATTGTATGTTTAACAGAATATGGGGATGCTGAGGCAATATACTACATTTTGTTTCTTCAGCACCTCAACATAACTCTGCTGAAGCACAGGCCAGAGTTTGATATTTTCAGAAAGCATTAGAGTTAAACCGCAGGGCTATTGAATGTAAAACCCTGACAAGTAAGTGTTAATGGTTCCCAGTCAACTTCAAAGAAAGAACCATATAGTTTAGTAAATAAACATTCAAAGCACACAGAATACAAATAGTATAAAAATTGTAAATAATATTTAGAATACTATGAGTAGCTTTTAAACAAAAGCTAGTAGACAAATCTACATGTGTTCCAGATATAGCCTCTACCCATCCTTTGTTGCTGTTACATATTTAAAATTTAAATGCAAGGTTTCAACATAACATTTACACTCCTATACTTTAGCACACACATATAAATACATTCCCCTCTGGTCTTCTTTCAGAGATGATTTCTCAGTCTTTATAGTGTGATCATAATATGTAATGTCTAGCACCGGAACTCTTCAGAACTTGAAAAGAATGGTAGAATCTCAGTCCTTTTCCAGACACTACAGAACTCTTTCAAACAGTCTGTGGTCTCCACAGCTAGCAGTATTCCAGCCCGTGGGTTAATAGTTGACCAATTCTCCGATTCTGGTGAAACAAAGTTGTAGTCTATATCCAAAGTAGTACAGGTGCTGGGATCAGTATGAGATCCACTCCCTGAATTTCTATAAAGCTTTCTATCTGTAGAACACTTTGTTCTCCCCATAAACCCAGCTAAATTAGGTAAGACTTTACAACCCTCACCTCACTCCACACTGCCCTGGTTCTCTCTCTGAGACAGAATCCCAGTTTAAAGCAGTTAGCTAATAGCTAAAAGTAAGTTCCATAGGCTCTGTAACATCTATGGGTACGAAATGCTTCCTTGCCACTCTCCCTCTAGGTCTACTAGAAGGTGTAGTTTCTGCCTCAGTAATCAAACTGATAAGAACAGATTTAAAATTTTTATTAAAGCTAATGTTAAAAAAATGTATAATACACAGGTTAAGAAAAGAGTGTCTGTACATCTGGGTATAGTGCTTAGATTATCCACAAATACAAAGTTTGTTTTAAAAGTCAGAAGATACATATAGTGGATGATCAGCAATAACCCAAATTTTGGTGAATAAATTTAATAATAGAGTTAGATATTAGCATCCAAATATCCACTCTCCCTCTAGGTCTGTAATACACACCATGCTATACCAAACATTATCCTGCTTCCCTCGTAACTAAAGCTGGAATAGCACTCACCTGTATCCAAAGTGGTACACGTAGACAAGGCTTTGTCTACACTACAAAGTTTTGTCGACAAAAGTGATGTAGAAACTCAAAAATCGACATAATAAAAATCGGAATGTCATGTTCACACTCACTCCCTCTGTTGGCAGAGCGTGTCCACAGTTG